CAGATAAACAGAAACTGAGAGTTTATCACCAACGGACCTTTACTAAAAGAATTTAAAAGTCTGTTCCTCAGGAAGAAGGAAAATGAGGTCAGAAGAATGTCTAAGAAGCAACAGGAATCCTTAGAAATGAAACCACAAAACACATTGCTAAAGCAAAAAAAAAGTAAAATATGAAAATATCTAATTTGGTGGTTTAAAAAAGGGCAGAATGAAACTGGATAGCAATACCATGGAAAGAGTTGATGATCACAAATGATGTTTAAAGCTTCTTGAATTGTTCGAATGGGGGGGGTTAAGATACCATTTTAAAAAAATGTTTATTTTTGAGAGAGAAAAAGAAAGAAACAGTGAGAGAGAGAGAAGGGGAGGGGCAGAGAGAGAGGGAGAGAGAATCCTAAGCAGGTTCCATGCTGTCAGCACAGAGCCCCATGACCTGACCTAAAACCAAGAGTCAGATACTTAACCGACTGAACCACCCAGGCGCCCAAGTTACTAACTTTATTTGTCAAGTTAGACCTGCATATAAAATGTTAAAAGTAAACAGTAAAACGGGGCTCCTGGCTGGCTCAGTTGAAAGAGTGTGCAACTCTTGATCTCAGGGTCATGAGTTTGACCCCGTGTTGGGTGTACAGATTACTTAAACAAAACCAATCAACCAAACTAACCTGTAAAAAAAAAAAAAAAAAAAAAAAAAGGAGAGAGAGATGCAGCAATTAACATCCCAATATATGTAATTAAAAAACAACAACAATAGCACAATTCAATGAAAAGACTCATTTAAAAGTAAGGAAAAATACAGTAAAAATGTGGAAGCAAATCTAGATATCTTAGAAATATTATTTAAAAAGGAAAATAGCTAATATAGCCAGTTAAAAGGCAAGTATTGAGTCAAACTGGGAAAAATTAGGAATCTGATATCTTAGGAATCTGATATCTATGTATCAGATATTTTTAGAGTGTTAGAATGAATAGCACATAGGTGTTCAAGATGTGATTCTTAAAAAGCTTAGCTATTTTTATACAAAAAGATCAGGTATTTACAAGTCTCTCTTTGCTGTCTGCCTCTATACTTGTCCAAAGTTTGAAAGATGGTTTATTTCCTTGTATAATCAAGAACACCTTAAATTTGTGAGATTTCTCTATGTGTCCACGAATGCTGCTGAGTTCAAGATGACATCTTTTTCACAGGTACGCGGTCCTCTTCAAAAGGCCTATTTTATATGCTTTCTTTTTAAAGTCAAAAACCGAATAGAAAAATGTAGTGTTATTTATACAAAACTTATGCAAATACATGACCCTTTGGATTATTCAGCTTTGGTCACTTCCTAGGCTTGATTAAGACACACATAGTTAGGGGCTCCTGGGTGGCTCAGTCGGTTAAGTGTCTGATTTCCACTTAGGTCATGATCTCACAGTTCCTGAGTTTGAGCCCCGTGTCAGGCTCAAACATTAACAAACTTTAAAAAAGGCACACATAGTTAAACCAACTGAATTTGTAAAGAGGTTTCACAGGAAAATGTTCCCTATCTGTGATCTCCCGTTGTACTTTAAAATTGTTCTTGCTAATTTTTCATTTCTGATGACCTAATGAACAGCATTTACCAAACACCCACAGCATCAAATCTTCAATGTTTTAAAAGGTGGCCTCCAAAGGGAACCAAATGGAACAAATGTCAGAGAATGATGTAAAGTCAGGATCTATGTTGGGTAGACAGGAGCCTGACCAGAGGATGTAAGAGCGATTTTGCTCTGGATGAGAATGCCTCCCCACACCACTCCTTTCTAAAATACTGGATTGCTATTCTGAGACTTCAGAGTGGTAGTGGGCAGGAAGGAATAATCAGCAATTCTAGTCACATTAAGTACATTTGTTTACATCCTACCTCATTCCACAAAGGATTTGACTATGTCTATAATCTGCAATTTTCTCTAAATTAAAAAAAATCAAGATCATAGAAAATATGTAAAGCATAGGAATATTAGCCTGGGCCAGAGATCGCTACATTTTGCTGTGCTTCACAACACCCCCCCACCCCCAGCCTCTAAAACTCTGCCCAAGTAGCACTCCACACCAATTATATCAGTGGATGGGAGAGGGAGGAAGAGAATAATAGTTTTAAAGATCCCCCGGTGTTCCTATGTGCAGTAAAGTTTGGGAACCACTGGCAGAGGCTGTCATTCTCAACTAAACATGCACATTATCCTCACCAGGGAAGCCATTGAAACTATTGATGCCTGCGCTCCTGCTACTGAACCGACGCAATCATAGTCCGCTATTGACTGAGCCCTTGTTACCGGGCACTGGATAATTTTAAAGCTCCCCAGACGGTAACAGTGAGCATCCAGCGTACAGAACCACTGCATCGGGGGAAAGCTGGTCCCTAATTACAAAGGGGACTGATTTCATTTTTTAATAGGTTCTTTTATGGCTTAAGGCCAGAAGATGGGTCCTGAGTTTCCTGGTGGCCAAAGTTAATAGAAAAATAATCATTTGAAATAGTTCTTGTCATCTTCCAGTCCCTTGGAAGAAAGAAAGCTTTTCTTTAAAAAATTTTTTTTTCTTTTAATGTTTATTTTTGAGTGAGAGAGAGAGAGAAAGGGAGAGAGTGTGCGCACAAGAGAGCCAGCACACGAGAGCAGGGGAGGAGCAGAGAGAGAGGGAGACACAGAATCTGAAAGAGGCTCCAAGCTCTGAGCTATCAGCACAGAGCCCGATGCAGGGCTTAACCTCATGAGCTTCGAACTCATGAGTTGTGAGAACATGACTTGAGGCTAAGTAGGATGCCTAACCGACTGAGCCATCCAGGCGACACCCCCCCCCCCCCGCCCAGAAACTTTTCTTGATAGATCTGCAATGTTTTGAGTGTTCTAACAGCAGCCATTGAATGATGTTATGAATCATGGTTTTATAAACACCCCTATAATAAATGACATGTGGCAAGTTTCCAGTTGTAGTTTCTAATAGCCAATTCTGAGGGAAAGCCAAGGACATGACCCAAGAGTGGTTGTGGGTGTAGGCAGTTGGGGTGGGGGTGTGGGAGCAGGAGCCGTGGAGGAAGTATGACCCACCTCTACAGTTCCCATAAATTATGGTCTCAACCAAAGATAAGGGCTGGAACTATGCACCTGCAGGATGTAGGGAGGGTGTCCTACATTCTTAGAAATTTCACGAGTACTGGGGTGCCTGGGTGGCTCAGCCGGTTAAGTGTCCGACTTCGGCTCAGGTTTGTGGGTTCGAGCCCCGTGTCGGGCTCTGTGCTGACAGCTCAGAGCCTGGAGCCTGTTTCAGATCCTGTGTCTCCCTCTTTCTCTGACCCTCCCCTGCTCAAGCTGTCTCTCTCTCTCAGAAGTAAATTTAAAAAAAAACATAAAAAAAAAAAAAGAAATTTCGCGAGTGCTCTCCCCCGCCCCTGTAGAAGGAATAAAGCTTGACAAAGGCCTGGCTAGTGAGGGTAAAGAAGCAGTGAATCTAACAGGAGTCACAGGCTCCGTGAAGAGTGTGTTGGATTTGGGGCTGTGTGTGAAGAATGAACAGAGAGAGACCTGTCTTAAGTGCTCCTTAGTAAAGATTTTTTTTTTTTCTCAATTGGGCTTTTGTGGTAACTAAGTACTGTTGATTTAATGACCCATGATTCCTAGACAAGAAGTCTTCTGAGAGGTAGTAAGTCCATGGGGTTAAGTCTTGAAACCCATTATACCTAGGGCACCTTGTTTTAAGCCAGCGTAATGTCATGGGAAGGAGGCAAAGGAGAGTTTAAGTGAGGCTAGGTATGCCCATTTTCTTTTGAAAATGATCTAGCAGAGCATACAGCAGATATTTTAGTAAAGTCGCTGGGAACAGGCAGAACGATTTTCTTGGATCCCAAGAGTTCCTTCTCGAAAAATTCTAAAAGCACCCAGTTACTACCCAAGCAGGCATTCCGAGGTTTCTTTTCAAAGGAAAATGGCCTGTTCTGTTTTTTTTTTTTTTTTAAACGCACAACTGCACATACCATCTGAATTTAAGGAAGGCTTCCTGGAAAAAGTCGAGTGATGGATTTCTTTCATTTATTTAAAGTAGTCGCTGGCGTTCGTGTAAATCTGAGGGATTAAAATGAACTGCTTAACAGTAGCTTGGAAGTGAGGAAGAATCTTACGGTGGCCAATAAGACATCTTAACGGTTTGCATATGCAGAAGATAACCTTAAACTTGAGTTTGATATTTCACGTTGCAGCTCACAAATGAGCTGCCTTTTATTCAAAGAACCAAGCTGTCTGTTTTCGAGTGGGTGGGTGTGTACCCAGAGCTGGCGCTGTGTTGGTTTTGTGTCCCGTAAGGTTGACACAGGCAGTGGCGACTCGCGGCCACACCGCGGCAGCCTCTCCCCTGCAAGCGGCCAGGCGGATCTGCTCGGGAGAGCTGACATCTTAGCCAACCGAGTCCGGCTTGCTTGGTGGCCAAGAATTTAAAGAGGTCTAGAAACATCCATATTTCCCCCTTTAACAATTACTGCGAGCCCAGGGCTCTAGGTAAAAAGACCACGGGGAAGAAGAATGAACTGAGTGGGATTTTTCCTCCCCCCGGGGAAAATGCCTTCAGCTCCCCCCTCCTCCCGTCCCCCAAATGCCCGGGTCGCCCCTTCCCCAAAGCGGAGGGCAAGCGAGAGGAGAGTGTGGGTCAGCTCGGAAGGCAAGCCCACGCCCGCAACCCCCGGCGGAGCCCTGTGCTGCCGGGCGAGCCCCGAAGAGCCACCCTGGAGGCCTGGGGGGGTGGGGTGGGCGTGGGGGCAGAACCCCGCCACCCGGCAGCCCGCGGCCCGCCCCCAAGCCCGGCCTGTGATTGGCTTGGGGGGCGCGTGTGCCCGCCCCGCCGAGGCGGGGAGGGTCCCCTCCGGGCGCCGGGTGGGAGGAGGCAGAGGACTGGGCGGAGAGAGCGGGGGCCGCAGGGAGCGAGCGAGGGGGCGGGCGAGCCGGGTTCCGGAGATCCGAGAGCAGGCTCGGAGAGGGGCCGAGTGCGGCGGGCGGGCGAACGAGCGGGCGGGGAGAGAAAGCCCGGCGGGCTCCGCGCCGCCGCCCGCTGCACGGCGCGCTCCCCGGACCGCCAGCCCGCACCGCCCCGCAGCCTTCCGGGAGGAAGCGGCGCAGGCAGCGGCCGGAGCGCGCTCTCCGGCTCCCTCACCTGCCGGCGCCCGGCGGCTCCCCCGGCGGGACGCGCGCAGGCCGGGCGCCGAGGAGGAGAGGAGCCCGGCCGCCGGCGCCGCAGCCCCAGCCGCCTGGGAGCGCCTCGGAGCCCTCGCGGGGCGCCGGCTCCATGGCGACCGGGCTCGGGGAGCCGATCTACGGACTTTCGGAAGACGAGGTGAGCGGCGTCCCCTTCCCTCCTGGGACTCCCCGGGGAGTTCCTGTCCCGCGCCGGCAGGGGGTCGGGACCCGGCCGACCCCTGGGGTGCGCGTCTTCAGCGCCTGCGGCGGAACCTCAAAGGCGGGTGCGCTCTGCGGCGGGGACCCGGCTGGGGGGGAGGGTGGTCTTCGGACCCTTGGGCCCCCTCCCCCAGCAGTGCGCATTGTTTGTAAATAAAGCGGCGCGACGCCCCCTCGAGCCGGGGTTCGCCCCGCCGCTACCCGCTTTTGGGGGTGGGAGGAGGGCTCGTGCGCCTCTCTGGACGCCTGATCCCCCTCCTGTCCCTGCAGCGTCTCCCGGGCTGTTGGGCAACTTTCCGCCTCGCGCCCCTCCAGCCCGGGAGTCCATGATGTGTGTCACGTCTGGGTCTGGGCTGGGGGCCCGCGCGGAGCCGGGGAGCCCGGGACCGCGCGGAGGAGCCTTGAAGGTTTTCCCCTTGGAACTTTCCAGTGATCGAGTCCTCAAGTGCTCTTGATGAAGGTGTGCTTATCCCGGGGGGAGTGGGCGACGCGCCCAAGCTGGGTGTGTCTGGCCCTCCCCCGGCTTGCAGAGTCGAAACCAGGAGTGTGGATCTGGGGTCTTTTTGATGGGGAAGACGTGGCGTGGTGGCAGGTGCTACTAGAAACTTGGAGGAAGCTTGCAACCTTGCCATTCCCCTCCCCGCCCCCCCCGGATTCAAAGCCCGGCACCTCTGGGGTAGGTGGAGAGACAGAAGCTCAATTGATCTCTTATTAATAAAGCACATCAAATAAGCCACGCCCCCAAGGCTGCCGGTTCGGCTGGAAGGAGCTTTGTTTTTCCCCCTCGCTCACTCCTCGCGGTTTCCCACTCCTCCTTTTGGAGGCGATCCTGGTAAATCGCTGCTGAGCCCTCGCTCGACCGGCCACGCTCGGCTCTTATTGGTGTGTTGCGCTGCCCAAAAGGGGGGTGGGAGGCCTGTCGCTGGCGCGGCGTGACCCGCAGGCTGGATGGAGCAGGTAGGAGGGGTTTGCCATCTGGCGGGGTGCGCGCTCAGGTCTGGCACCCCTTTCGAGAGGTGAATTTACAACCCATGAAGCATTACTCAGCAGGGAGGTATTTCCTATCCTGGTTGTTCATTTCATGAAAAGTTGATGCCTGGAAATGAGAGGATTTCTGGCTTTCTCTTTCTTCCTCTCCTTTCTTTCCGGAGGTCCCCTCTTTTCTCTGGGATTGGGGGTGGGGTTCATGGAGAGGCTATTATCTAGACCTGCCCACGTTATGGCTTCTCTCTCACCAGCTTTCCTGCTCTGGTCTGGGGTGTGTGTGCGCGCGAGCTTTGTAAGTGTGTAATGGAGTAGTTATCTCGGGGTGGGGAGGGTGTTTGGGGGTGTGACCTTTTTTTTTTTTCCTTAACAGCTAGGAAAAGCTTGCTGTGGTGTGTATTTTATCAAAGAATGATCACAATGCAAATAACGTGTGATTTACGTTTTCGATTATTTTGCCATGCTGTGCTCGGGTAAAATAATTTCCCTTTTTGGAGCAGTTACCTGGGGATGGGTGAAAAGGACCATTGTTTCTTTTACCCAGGGGGGTTCTGCTCTTCCCGGCTCCTCTCCCTGGCTCCTCTGGCTCCTCTCCGGGAGCTAACCCCTTTCATTCTCTACTTCTCCATTTAATGAGCAGCGGTAGATGGCAGGCAGTGAGCTTTTAGGAAGGTGCTGAGATACAGACATTCCTAAACAAAGGGCTTTTGAGGTACTGTGGGGGAAGACCGCTGCATTTCATCTTGGGTCTCTCTTTGTTTTTGTTTTTGTTTGGTTTTTCGAATACATGGTTTTTAAAGCTCCCTGAAAAAAAATATGACAATTAAGAGTGTTTTGGGAAATTTAACTGGATCAAGGAATCCTGTGCATGTCCCTGTTGTTTATTCTTTGTTTACGTTCACATCTAGTGTCCCCACCTACATAGAGCACATCTTGGCACTTTCGATGAGTTAACACAGATCTTCTTAACCGGTGTCCAGTGGGAAAGTGCAGGATGGAATATAAACAGTGTTGGGGATTGTGTCTATGTGTATGACTGGGTTCATTCCTGCATGTTACCAGAGGGACATTTGGGGCTGTACGGGGAACAGCACGAGGTGATGAAGACATTTTATTGATTGACTGATGGCTGTGTTGCCAGTACTAGTTAGATTCCCCCCTCCCCCGCACGTTATATTAGAAAAGACAAGTCACATCTGTTGTATTTTTTCAGCTTCCCCTACCAGTGAGAAAAGGAGGCAGGGCCGTTTTGATGACTTCCCATTTCCATGGCATTTGCTTTTTATGGGAGGTTTCGCGCCGTCAGGTTACCCTTTGGAAAATAAGGGAATGCCTTCGTAGAATATTAACAAATTGTGGAATTTGCACAGCTTGTTTTGTCTCTCTGAGTTAGTCTGTGTCAGGAAACAAATGACAGATTTTACCAGGCTCTTAAAGCAGACCGGCTGATGACACCCAACGGCAAGGGCTGGTTTTCCGAGGTGTGTTAAACACGGGTGTGCTCAGTCCCTGAACCTGATGTGCGCCAGGACCTCGCACAGGGGGGTTTGATTGCTTTCCATGCCTGTTAGCAAAATAGGCGTCCGTGCCTAGCACATTTCTTAAGTGAGTTTGTATTTTCATCGAAGCTGCCGGGAAAGCATTGTGTGTTTGGAGTGCACTTAAGTTTCACATCCCCTCTCAGAAAGCTGCTTTAGCTCTAAGTCCCGCTGCTCCAGGAGCAGTGGATGCTACTGAGTGAGACTCTCCAGCTTGTGGAATGGGAGGGAGTAAATGTGGGCTTTGCCTGGGTGAGTGCACCGACTGTTTTTTGTGTCTTTCTGGCCGAGGTTCCTCTGTGAGGTATGGTTCGTATTTACTGGTTTAAATCTGGTCATCGTAAGGAACCCACATTTGAAATTGCCATCAGGTGAAGGGCTTCTAGCATTAGATTCGCCAAGTAGCAACATTTGAGATTCCGGGCCTGGCATCAGATTTGGTTTGGAATCAGAAGACTTGGACTAGTTGCGTCTGGCTTGGTTCCTTGCAGTTTCTTGTTTTGCTTTGAGTATTTATTTATTTACTGGCAATCCTGCAGGACATTTTGGAGTTTACTTGGGAACATTACTGTTCAATCTTCTGAAATCTTTTCTTACAACATCTTACTAGAAAGGCGTCTTTTGCAGAGAAGATTTCTGCTGGGTGAAATACTAAAGTCTGAATGACAGCTCTCTCATTAGATGTGGCATTTTTTTGGATGGTCACAGTGAGGTAAATGGCATAGAAATGAAGGCCAGGGGGACATGGGACAGTACTTTGACACCCTCCCTATGTATTTGATATAAACCAGAATAGTTGGCGATGGCTTCATATGCTTTCTCTGTACCTAGCACCATGTTAAGTCTCGTTGAACTTGTCTCATTTAATCCTCATGAACTCCCTATGAGGTGTGCTAAGATTCACAGATGAGCAACGGAAGCTCAGAGATGTTAAGTGACCTGCATAAGGACACACAGTGAGGAAGTTAACGGAATTGGGGTTTGAACCCAGTTCTGTTGATCACACAGCCCTAGGTTTGAACATGCTTCTTCTCTTCCAAGTTATCTTGAAAGGTCTTCATAGCTAGGTTGTTGAGGTTAAGTCACAATGGCGATAAGCATCAGGAGTTGTAAGCTGAATCACCTCTAGTCTGAATTGGCCAGAAGGCTTTCTTAGTATGCTCTCCACTGTGTTTTAAAACTTAGGAATTTTTACAGAAAATGGTAAATATCTGACTCAGTGGGGCTCCATTCTCACCTGGCAACAATTAGTGGGTCTTAGGCGTGGCCTGGAGCTGTGGTAACTGCCTCGGCTTTAGGTTTCTCTTTACTCATTTGCATATAATTAACCTCCTTCGTAACAACTGAAGATTTGCAGAGGTTGCACTTGGCATAGGTATATTATCTTGAAGATGCTGTCAACTTAAAGATGCACCACTATTTTATGTACAGCCAAAAAGAAAGAAAAAAAATTGCTGTCACACTGTGCTATAATTAATTTCATAAAGTGTCCTTATTCCAGGATGTTTTAGAATCCATGGCTTTGATTAGAAACCTGAGATAACCCTGGGCCATCAGTTTCAAATAAAACACCAGTCATTCAACACTTTTAAGCCAGTTGCTAGTCAGCTTTTTGCCTTTCTGTTACTGAGAAAAGGGGTAGCCTATGGGAAATGCTCTTAACTGGGCATTGGCAGAGAAGAATCAGGGAGCCCGCAAGAGAGGCCACCTGCGTAGCCATCTGTAAGTAATTCAGAGTGGTCATTAGTGTTTAAAACATGGTCTGTGTGTGTTTTCAAGAGATTACTTGAGAAACACTGCATGCCATCTTTGCGGCTGGGCAAAAACGATCACATGATTGCTTTTGGAAATTAGTTGAGATACTGTTTGTATCTAAAGGTAGATGCCAAAAAGCAGCTTTGAAGAGGGAGGTAAGACTTGCCCATTTGTTTCAAGTCCAAGTGCCTGAATCAAGCCTAGCAGTGCTGGCTGGTATGCTCTGTGCCCAGGACACGGGCTTAGCCCAGTGACAGTCTGCGTCATCATTGGTAACATTTAAGAAAAACGCTAAAAGGGCTTAGGTTTTATTGTGACATTTAAAAGCAGGTGTTTAAAAATTTTTTAATGTTTATTTTTGAGAAAGAGAGAGAGACAGACAGTGTGAGTAGGGGAAGGACAGAGGAGACAACAGAATCCAAAGCAGGCTCCAGGCTCTAAGCTGTCAGCACAGAGCTCGATGTGGTGCTCAAACTCATGAACTGTGAGATCATGCCCTGAGCCAAAGTCGGACATATCTTATTCAGTTTTATTAAGTCTGAATGTTTTGAATTCTCTCATTACTGAAAAGCAGTTTCCTTAAGGAATAAAAAGAATTTTGCTCTAAGGGGTGAGGACAGCGGCAAAACGGGAATCCTCAGACAATCCTGATTTCTTTACC